TATTTATTTATTTGAGAGAGAGAGAATGAGAGACAGAGAGCGTGAGAGGGAAGAGGATCAGAGGGAGAAGCAGACTCCCCGCTGAGCAGGGAGCCTGATGTGGGACTCGATCCTGGGACTCCGGATCATGACCTGAGCTGAAGGCAGTCGCTTAACCAACTGAGCCACCCAGGCGCCCCAAGGATTTTATTCTTAAGTGAGCTCTATACCCAATGTGGGGCTTGAACTTATAACCCCGAGATCAAGAGTCACCTACTCCCCTGACTGAGCCAGCCAGGCACCCCATGGAGTTTGGTATTTTTGATTCAATTTCTCATGAAATTACATTCTTCATATCTTGAGAGTTTAAAGAGACAGAGGAAGGTGCAAAACCAAGTATGTGTATCCAACAGTATGGCTCAGTGATTAGCTTGGATTTTGATGCCAAAATGCCAGCTTTGCCAAATTCTTGCTATGACCTCTTGATCAAGTCACTTCTCTAATGCTCTGTTTCCTTATACGTAAAATGAAGCCAACAGCACCCGAGCTCAGGGGGTTCCTGTGAGAAGCAAGCGAGATGATGTGTGTGAAGCCCTGAGCGTAGTCCTTGACTCCCAGGAAGGGCCCAATAAACACAGGCTATGAGCATCATCTCCATTCCTTTGTCATGTGGCAACGGACGGGGACACTTGGCATCTGCGTGTGGTTGTGACAGGACACAAAGTAAGCTTCCTAATGAGGATGGGTCCTGAGTACAGAGTGCGGCCTCTCCTGTCCCTCTGTCACTCTGCAGGCCCAGGGGTAAGTGGTGCCCCAGAAGAAAAGGGGAGCAGATGTAGGTCCCCACAAGGCCCAGACATGGAGTTGGAGTCCATCGACTGACATTTTAAGAGCCTCGTAGTCCTCCTGAGGATGGGCAAGGAAGCAGCTATGTCAGGACCTACACGAGAAAGGCATCTGGGGACTGTGTTGGGGGCACAGTGAGAATCCGATTGGCCTCAGCCTGACAAGTCCGGGAAGGGGGAGGGATGAGGAATCTCATTCCAGTCTGTGTTTATTAATCTTCCCTCCTCCTGCACCATCCCATGCACAGAAGGTTTAACATGTACCACCAAGAGGCTTCCATGGGTAGTCCTAGAATGGGATGGGGAACAAGATGCAAAAGAAACCCAAGACCTCTTCTTTGCTTTTGGAAAGGATTCACTAGAAGGTAATTTATCAGCAAATGCCAAATAATATGCATAATTACCTTACTTATCTAAAGGCCCATTTAGCTGGTGTCTTTCGATCCCCTGGAAGCAAACAAAAAACCAGGACAAAGGACCGAAGGTCTTGTGATATCCCTTCTGAGCAGTCAAAGGAAGGATTATAAAGTCCCAGTGCTAAAGGCAGTGCATTTTAACTCCAGGAGAGTCTCTAAAGCCCTCTCCGACTACCTAGTTTTACTTTAAAGATTTTATTTATTTATTTGACAGAGAGAGACACAGTGAGAGCAGGAACACAAGCAGGGGGAGTAGGAGAGGGAGAAGCAGGCCTCCCGCGGAGCAGGGAGCCCGATATGGGACTCGATCCCAAGACCCTGGGATCATGACCTGAGCCGAAGGCAGACGCTTAACGACTGAGCCACCCAGGCGCCCAACCTAGTTTTACTTTAGACAGTTGTAAATAAGGTGGCTGATCAGAAGTCACAAACTTGAAGTGAACAGCGAGGGCCACCAGGGGTGGCACATTTAAGGCAATGAAGGGTGATGGCTGACAGCCCGACTGCAAGGGAGACAGCACAAGCTCTGAAAAGCAATCAAGAGAGCTCAGAGGACAGCCACTGGGGCCACAGAGGGTCGGTGCAAACAGCTCTCCACGCCTTTCCAGACCAGAGGGCAGCGCTGCTCAGACCTCAGACCTGCCCGCAGATATGTCGGCTCTCCTGGGGGTGCTGTGGGGTATTAGGTAAGGCCAGATGACTTGCTGTGGCTAATGAAATGTGAATGGAAACAGTGAGTGGGTGGCACTTCTGGGAAGAAGCTTCAAGAGCTAGTGAGTGCTCCATCTTGGCAACTGGCAATGAACGGTTTCAGCAGCGGCAGCTCTGCTGGCCTGGGTCCCCAAGTAAGGATAAAGACGACGCCAGGCAGAGCTTCCCCAACCAATAGAGAACAAGGACATGGGCAAGAAACACACTTGTTACTTTTGGGGGCTGCCTGTTAACTACCACATAATCTAGTTTATCTTAATAGACATCCTAAAAAAGTTAGACGTCAGCTCACATTAAGAAAATGGGTGCATTATCTTTTTGGTAGATTGCCATTCAAAATAGTCAATATTATATTATATTTTGTGGCTTATAGGATAATTTTCAATTATATAAAGATTCACCTACTCCAGTGTTGCCAGATAAATGAGTCATTACCAGATCATGAACTGAAAGGAGAAGATGGATCCAGTTTCGGAGTACTTTCTTTACAAAACATAGCTGCACAGACATTGGACATATTTGCTGGGTCTCATGAGCTAATGCTGCCAGGACTGGCCCCCAGCATCTGCAGAACCAGCCCCAGGCACAGGAAGTGGCATCTACTGGTTCTGCAAGTGCAGAGGGGCTCTGGTCCCCATATGGGGGTTTGAAGGCTCTATTAAATACCGTATGCACACTCATAGAAGGAAGTCCATAATGTGCTGCTGAGTAAAATGGCAAGCCCAAAACTTCAAAATATACAGTCTTTTAAATCATATATGGAATATTTACAAAACTGACCTTACATTGGGCCAAAAAGCAAGTTTCAACAAATCTTGAAGGATGAAGACCATAGGGGTTATTTTCTTTGACCGCAAAGCAATAAAGCCAGAAAACAAAAGCTATAAGATAAAATCTCACATAATGAGAAAGTAGGAATCATACTTTTAAATAATCCATGGGTCACACATCCTTATGCTTAATCCTCTTAACGATTCATGATGCAGATCCCCGTTTTAGAAATTCAAGAACTGAGAATGGAAAAAGAACACAATTTGCTCAAATTTACGCAGTTAGTAGTGGTAGAGCTGGGACTCAAAACCAGGATACAGAATTCTAGAGCCCAGTGCTTTAATGAATGATATTCTCCTTACACTCCGTCTCACCGGAATTCTTCAGATCCTCCCAAGGTCCACAGTCTCAGTGGATCTGATATTTCATGTCTTAGAAAGAATAGCTGTTGAGATGGGAGACATGGTCCCAGCCTGCTTTGGTGGCACTGACCTTGGATCTACTGTGTAGAGATGCATTTCCCTTTTGCTCCTGCCTTGTCTTGGGGTCCCCTACCTGGGCTGAGGTATGAAGTCTAGAGGAGTGGAGAGGACAGTTTCAGGTTGATGTTCCCAGACAGCTTTAAGTTAGATTTCCAAGGAGATTTCCTTTCCTTTTAAAGTTTTTTTTTCCACATGGGCATAAGTGGTAAGCGAACAAAGAAAGACAGAAGGAAAAGTTACTTCCAGATGGCTCGCCATCTTGCTCTAATGCAGATTAAATAAAGAAAATATTCCAACATATCATTAGGCAAACATGAGTATTAATATCATTCATATTATAAATGGAACAGAATGGAAATTCAGTCTATATCTTGATATACATTTGAGGCTAGGGCTTCAGAGCCAGAAAACAATTACAGCACCCTGATTCTGAGCAAGTTGGAGACTCATGATATCTGAGGTTAAGAGGCAAGACCAAAGTGTTCCTAGACATCTCCAGGGGTGGCCACCTGAATTCTAACCAACCAAACTGCCTCCCTCCTGTCGCAAGGGCCTGTTCAAATGGCCATTTAATGGTGTTAATCTACCTTCTCTATTTCTACCAACTTGTGTTGATTCTCGTCAAGGTACATTTTTGGCAAACCTCCATGACATCCAGAGCTTCTGTGATACCACTTTGGACCTCAGCTTCTCCACCTATGCTGTGAGGATAATGCTTCTGCCCTCCTCCATGGGCTCACAAGTCTGAGTCCTAACCATGTTTCATGCAATAAGAAAATAAACAGAAAATCTGATGGTGGTCCATATCCTAGAAAGTTACCTAAAGTGCTCAGAACTTACCAAGTGGCCCTGGGGAGGGAGAAGGCTGAGAGGTATGAAGAGATAGTGCTAAGCTGGGCTAGAGGTCCTGAAGGTGGGAATTTTACTCCATCCTTTGGCTTCATTTCTTCCACGACAGAAGCCACAATGGCCCAAGGGGAGGGAGTAGGCTGCTGGGTTAATACTGTACAGCTTGGAGCTTGAAGCAACCCCCTGCCCCCGAACTCTACCCCACTGCTTGTTCCCCACACCATCAGGGTTCGGGTCCCAGAAAGTCAGTTTGCCAATGAGTAAGTGATCCAAGTCCCAGTGTGAGATTAAGATCAACAAGTCCAAGATCAAAGTACCCAGTTATCCAATCAGCAGCGTGATTACATCCTCAATCTGTGAAGAAGGATCACGCCAACCACTTCTTGACAGGAGGCTACGGGTGTCCCTGGGCAGGCCCCAAATGGGAACTCAGCTCAGTGACCTTTCACAAATGACCGATTGTGCCTACAGGCTGGACAGATGGTGTGGGGCCCCTGGGGTGAGCGATGGTCCGATGCCTTCAATGAGGCTGTCCCACTGGTCATAGTCCTCTTTCAGTTCTGAGTGGGGAAAAAACAGGAAGGTTAGGGAAATCTTGGTAAGGTAAGATCAAAGAATAGCTACTGTGGATTCAGTGGGTCATCCTGGAGAGGAGCACCAGGGATACTAAAAGGACTGGTTAGGTGGTTGTGATGGTGACTGCAGAATGGTAACTACTGTTCACTGAGTGCTTTTATAAATGGGCTTCATACATGACTTGCTTACCCCATAACAACTCAACAAGGGTAATAGCAACAGAAGGCAGCATTTACTGAAGAGTAGCTCATCCTAGAGACTGTGCCAAACATACACTGTTTCATTTAACTCTCACAATATCCCTATGTGTTAAGTCCTGTATTAGCCCTATTTTACAGCTGAGGAAACTGAGGCTCAGAAAAGCTACCCAATTCACCCAAGGTCATTCCAGTGGAGACGTGGTAGAGACAGAATTCAAACCTGGGTCAGAAAGAGTGAGAATATGGAAAGCCTCCATCTAAGCTCAGGGAAGCTGCTGAGCAGGAAGGAAGAGATCTTTTGCACGTCAGCCGGTGGAAGCACATTCAGGGCCACCTCAGTGAAGGGCGGGAGAGAACAGGATGGCAACATCATGAGGCAGCCTAATACTGGATAGGATTCAAGAGAGGGCCCTGGGGTCATAGGCAGATGGGTCTAACACAGCAAGAACAGTCAAAAAGGGTCCAAGTCCTCAGGCTGAGGGAGCAGGGCACAGCTGAACAGGCAAATGGTACTTTTGTTCAAAACAAACAAAAGCTGGGACAGAAAGCAGGGACCACTCTCCATCTTTGGATCCCCAGTGCCCCGCCAAGAACCTGGCATGGAAGAGGTCCTCATCAAGTAAGTGTTACATATTCATTAATTCAAAAACTATTGAGCACACCCATGATGAGCCAGTATGTTCTTGGTGCTAAAAATACATCCACAACACAAATAGAAACCCTTATCCTCATAGAGCTCATAATCTAATAGACAGAGATAACAATAAACACAATAAGTTATATAGGATGGGAAAAGGTGATAAGTACTATAGGAAAAAACAGAGGGTCGCATCATATGGGACCAGCGGGACACTGGACGTTGGCTTTGACTCTCAGAGAAATGGGGAGCCACTGGAGGATTCGGAACAGGGCGTGAGAGATCGGACTTAGTTTCTGTCGGGATCACTCTGGCCGCTTGATTAAGAAAAGACCGTGTGGGGAGGCAAGGGCAGGGAGAGATGACTTGGACAGGGTGGCAGTTGTGGGGGTGAAGACAAGGGACGAGATTCCATATGTAGCCAGAAGGTAGAGCCAAGAGGATTTCTTTCTTTTTTTTTTTTTTAAAGATTTTATTTATTTATTTGACAGAGAGAGACACAGTGAGAGCAGGAACACAAGCAGGAGGAGTGGGAGAGGGAGAAGCAGGCTTCCTGCCAAGCAGGGAGCCCGATGTGGGACTCGATCCCAGGACCCTGGGATCATGACTTGAGCAGAAGGCAGACGCTTAATGACTGAGCCACCCAGGCGCCCGCCAAGAGGATTTCTAAGGGATTGGAAAGGCGAGCAGAGACAAGAAGGAAGACGTCAGCTTGAGTAAATCGAAATCGGGTTTTGTTGGAGATGTCTACTGGACAGAGAAACATTGAGTGGCAGGTTATACAAATGTGATGTTCATGGGAGAGATCGAACTGGAGACATGGGGCGTTGTCAGGCATGAGAGTGGATGGATGACATCAGGGGATGCGGAGAGAGAAGAGGTCCAAGCCCTGAGCCCCGGAAGCAGTAAAGTAGACCGAGGAGGAGCAGACATCCAGACAGGAGAAAACCCACAGCAGGGGTGTCCTAGAAGCGAACACAGGGTTTCATGGAGGAGGGCATCACCAACTCTGTCAGAAGCTGCTGAGTACCCCAGCAGACGAGGAATGAGAACTCACCACCGGATTGAGGGCTGTGAGGGTCACCGGTCACACTGACAAAAGCAGTTCTCCCAGGGAACTGGGATGCAAACGCCTGACTGGAGTGGGTTTAAGAGAGAATGCTAAGAGAAGAACCAGAGAGAGTAAAGACGGACATTCTTTTGAGGAGTTTTGCTGTTGGGAGGAACAGGGAAACGGGGTGGTAACCTGGAGGGGCAAGTGGGGTCAAGAGAGGTACTTTTTAAGAGAAATTTCAGGGTGAGGGGTGCCTGGGCGCCTCAGTCAGTTAAGCGTCTGCCTTCAGCTCAGGTCATGATCCCGGGGTCCTGGGATCGAGCCCGCATCGGGCTCCCTGCTCAGTGGGGGGCCTGCTTCTCTCTCCTCTGCCCCAGCCCCTGCTTATGCTGCCTCTCTCGCTCTGGCTCACTCTCTCTCTCAAATAAACAAAATCTTAAAAAAAAAAAAAAAAAAGAGAAATTTCAGGGTGAAATGAACCAAGTCGAGAGGGGCAAACTGATGATCGAAAATAAGAGGAAAAACCTGCTGGCACAATCACTTTGAGCCCACGGAAGAGAAGGGAAGCTGTGTGCGGGTGGAGGGCTTGGCCTTAGACAGACGACTGACTGGGAGCTGGTAACCAGATGCTGAGCTGAGTGTCTGCACAAAGGTGGGTAGATAAGGCGCTGGGATTTCGAGGAAGTACTGACTACTTCCATTTTCTCAGTGAGGTGGGAGGCGAAGTTAATCAGTGGAGAGACAGGGGACGGGAGGGTATCAGAGGTCTGCAGAGAAAGGAGAAGGGAGAGCGGAAGAGGGAGACAGAAAGCTGCCTATAGCTCACAGGACAGAAGCACCAAGAGAAAGAATATCCCGGGGTCAGTGGCAGATGTGCTCCCAGAGGTATTTTTAGGAGTGGGGAGAGGTACAGCTCACTGCAACCCATTTTGGTTTCCCGTGTGACATGTGGCCACCAAAATGCTTTTCTCCCTTTGCAAAGCTAATTGCCCCAAGTGGAGAGTCTTTGCCTTTTCAGACTCTGTCTCATCTCTTCTTTTTTTTTTTAAAGATTTTATTTATTTATTTGACAGAGACAGAGATAGCGAGAGCAGGAACACAAGCAGCGGGAGTGGGAGAGGGAGAGCAGGCTTCCCGCCGAGGAGGGAACCCGATGCGGGGCTCGATCCCAGGACCCTGGGATCATGACCTGAGCCGAAGGCAGACGCTTAACGACTGAGCCACCCAGGTGCCCTGTCTCATCTCTTCTTGCCTGGTTACACCACAGCCTTTGAGCGGGGCCCTCAGCCTCTCAGACAGGCCCATCGCCTGTCCTCCATGATGTAGCCAGACCGCGCACACACGTCTAATCATGACATTCCCTTGCCAGTGGACTAAAATCCACACTCATTTCAGCAACTACGCGTCTTCTACATCTAGCTTCTGCCCACTTCTCTGCCGTTATGTTCTACCAGTTCACTATCCTGAGCGCCAGATGCACTAAACACAGTTTCCCCAAACTGACCACACAAGCCTTGGTGCCTTCTGTTTAGAAGACCCCTGCCCCTTCCCTGGTGAACCAGACTCATCTGTTAAAGACAAGCATCACTTTGTCCAGGGAGCCTCCTCTCCTGACTGTCCTGTCCCTTCTGCCAGCTAGGCGCCTGCTTTCTGTGTCTCCTCAAGACTGAGTCCATACCTTGGTCATTAAGAGTCGCTGGCAGGACAGTGTATCAGCTAAGTATGGGGGCTTTGGAATCAGACAATTTAGGCTGCATTCTGGCCTTGCCACTTAGTAACCAGATAACCTTGGACAAATTACTTAAATTTCCTAAGCTTCATGTCTTCACCTATAAAATGGAATTAATAATAAAAGTACCTACTGGAGAGGGTCGTCTTCAGGATTACATATGATGGTGAATCTAAAGTACTTAGTGGAAGGCCTGGCATAAAGCAAGTTCTCGATAACCTCCCTATAGTCTAAGACTCTCCTTCGCATCTCCTCTTCTGCTGGTCTCCAGTAATGAGCATTTTAGCTCAACAGACATTGCTCCTAACTGCAGCCCAATAATGCCATGGGGGGCTCCCCTGTCATCTTTGGCTCTTTACCTAATGACATGATGCTAACAGTTACCAGGGAAAGTGGGCCGAGGACCATGTAGTCAGTCCCCACTGAAGTCTAGAGTCACGGATCCATTCCTCTCCTACGAGGTGATAGGGTGATGCCCTAAAGTCTCTATTAACCCTGCAGTCTCTATACCCAGGCTGGCATAATGGCTCACAGGAGCAAGATGAAATGAACAGGCATGTAGATATGCAAATTTAGGTTAAAAAAGTCAATACATTCATAACAGAACAAATATGTTTTAAAAGCAAACTAAGGAGGGTGCCTGGGTGGCTCAGTCATTAAGCGTCTGCCTCCGGCTTAGGTCATGATCCTAGGGTCCTGGGATCGAGCCCCGCATCAGGCTCCCTGCTCATCGGGAAGCCTGCTTCTCCCTCTCCCACTCCCCCTGCTTGTGTTCCCTCTCT